CTCTATAAACACGTACATAAAATCCATTCTATAAACATACTTCCTTTAAAACCAATTCTGCAATTACAATAAGCGCATACAATTGGGCAGGTTAAAACATTCTATCTATATATATATATAGAACACCAATTTTTTTATTGATCGATTTTCGTTTTGAGAGAATTGTGGTTTAGATAAAAAAAAAAAATCCATTGATTTGTCAAAGGATCTTTTTTGTTTTAACTTGTATTAAAAAAATTATAATAATTTGGTGTTTTTTTATTAATACGTAAAAAATGATTGAGATTTACTGTACATAAAAAAATCTCTATATAACACAATCATTACATGCAATTTTTTTGAACAAAAAAAATCTATTAATTCATTTAAAATGTTAAATATATGATATCGATATACGGGAGTAAACAAGTAAATGATCATCACGGAATAATTTAAAAAAAAAGTAAATAAGGTAATTTGCACCACATCTATGTATCTATATGTATCATTGATTGGTTGTAGTATTAGCTAATTATTCCGATAATTTTCCGTTTGATAGCGTAAATAATTATTCAGTTCATTGTAGAAAACAAAGGTATAATTATGATACGGTAATATATGAAGCCTTTAGTTAGGAAAAAATAATACATTTGAGTGCTGCCAAGGGAAAAGACCATTAACTGTCTATGAAAATTTTATCATGATAAATTTTTTTATAGACGGCTAACTGTACACAAAATATAATTGAAAGTCCGACCGGCCTTTTTTCTTTGGCAGCACTCGTTTTATAATAAATGTATTGCGACTCAATATTTCTTTAAGAGATGAATATCGAATTTATTTGCTTATTTATTTATTTTGTTTATTTACCAGCAATAAAAGATAATAAAATAAAGAAAAACCTAATACATTATATACAAATTTTTTTAATATTGATACCTAGTGTAAATACAATTAATATTAGCTGGTGCATTATCTGGTATATTAGTATCCGGTGTAATATAATATATGGGATCCATAAGATAAAAATTAGAAATTTGTAAAGAGTCGTTCGAAATTGATGTTAAAGGATAATACAATAATACAGAAGGCTCATTTAAGGATGTAATAAAAAACCCATTTAAGAATACAGAAGACCCATTTAAGGGTGCAGAAGACTCATTTAAGGGTGCAGAAGATTCATATAAGGATGCAGAATATTCATTTGAAAAAAATGGAATAAAAGATGCGTTTAAAAGATCCATTTCTTGCTGTCCAAGTTCAAAAGGTAAATAATGGTAAGATTCTTGTTCTCCATTATCCGAGTGGGTACTCTCATTACAATTATCAATCTCAACTTCAAGACCTTCTTTTTGAGGATCAGTTTCTTTTTCATTTTTACAACTAGGAGCCATAATAAAAAATGGACGTGACCTCCTGTAATCCTGTTTAGCTTTATCTGCCAACTTCATATAATGACTTTTAACAGACATTGGTTCATATTGCCACTTTAAACTCGCTATCCTTGAAATAACCGGAATTGGGTAATTGAAGCCTTGCGATTTAAGCTCCCGATGAAGTACCATTTTGTAAGATATAAATGCATTAGGTGTTCTTCGAGGTTTGCTACCGTGAAGATCGGATTTTGCGAGTAGGTCTTTAGTCGTTATATCTGGTGGAAATGGTACATTTATGGTTGTGACAATTTCATTAATATCAATATTATGAGACGATTTCTTAGAAC